TACAGGATAGATCTCTAAGGAGCTCCATTCTAGAATCCATGTGGCAATTCAGCTTGCACCTGGGGTACACATGAAACCACTTCTTGTTATCATTCTGAAGCGTGGTTTAAGAAAGTAAATTTAAAATATTGGCTAAATAACACTGAACCCACATCTATTTCCAGCTCCTGTATTCAGTTTAATTGTAGCATTTGCTCTGCACAAACTATGTGAGTGTTGTTATTGAAGACTTTGAGGTACAAATAATTTTCTGGCTTTAGAAATGTTTCAAAGTCAAGAAGAGTTCCTGCAGTGCCAGAAGTCCATCAGTGATGACAAGTATTTCTCACTTAGAAAAACTTATCAGTGTAGAATATCAATACTTCCCATATTTTGAATTAAACTTCACAAGCCTCTGTCATGTTGCACATATAAATAACGTGGTCTACAACTGAGAAAAGAGAAAGCTGAGATTAAAACTGACCAGTGATACTAAAGAGAATTAGTTACTGGAACAACAGTAAAAACCAACTCCCTCTTCTTTAAATACAGGAAACATCCTCCTAGGGTTTGAAAATTCTTCTTCTATATGCTTAGGAGAAAGATATGGAAAGACATTCCTTCCTGGTAACTCCATTTAAATTCCTACTGGAAGGCTAAGGGCAAATTTAGAGAAAAGTTCTTCCTCAGAAACGGTGTGCTCAGAAAGCCATTATTTTGCTGGTAGGAAGGAGAGGCAGCGGGAGGATGGATGCAGCAGGACTTCTGCTGCCTTCTCAAACCAGAATGTCCTCTACAAACTAAGGAGATCCTTTCAGTCAACTGCTCTACCAAAGAACTTTGGACACTTCATTCTTCACGTGTTTGGGTTTTTTTTTTTCTTTTTTTTTTTATTAGTTGTCATTCTTTGACATGATGAATACTTACAGCAGTATGTTAAAAAAGATACAGTTAAGTCTCTTGGCATCACTGCATAGCAGTCACAGCATTTTCACACAATCTAGTGCTTCCTTTCAGAATGATGCATATGGCAAATATACGCACATATGGGGGCTGATTCTTGGTCCCAGTGAAGTTGGTGGGACCAGTGTTTGGCCCATAGAGTTGTATAAGATATGTGAATATGTATATATAAAATGCTTTACAATAAACATGACATATACAATCTTGGATTCAAAGGTAAGCAGAATATATTTTACATCCAAGTCAAACTTACGCTGTGCACTTAAAAGTTTATGTACCTAAAATATTGGATGGATTACAGAAACAAATAATAGAATAATAGTTTGCATTGATCAAAGTAATTTGGATACATATTCATGGCATGCGCTTGCCTTGGGTTTGGGTTTTGGGGTGGCTTTTTTGGATTTGCAGGAACTTAATTCAAATTTAAGTATTGTTTTTTCTTTTGTAGGCCATAAGCAGGGGATGGTGATGTCCAAGGGAAAATGGGCGTATTTTGTGGACAGCTTGGCTGAGTGGCTTCTTAAAATATAAGGCTAAAAGTTATGGTTGGTACCCTGAGTGATACCTGAAAATAAAATTATCACCGCTTGAGTGTTTCTCCTTTCTGAGGAGGGTCCATTTGGAACAGCTGGTATGCATTCTGTCTCTGTTGTGTTGGAAATTTTTAACAGAAATTTCAACTACAGACTGGAAAAGCTGGTGAGATAGCTATGCAGTGTGAAAATGGGCTCATCCCATTTACTGTGGTAGCTGCTGGCTCACTGATCATGCTGGGTGACTTTGGTTTTCTTCATGAAAACCAATAGTTTTTACAAAAATAATTGATCCATGTTGTACATTAGGTTATATACAACTGTAAATAATTTGGTTTTTTTGGTTCTGAGATTATTTTTTTCCTTCCCTCCATAGACTCTACTAAATCTCAGCTACTCCTCTCTCTGTTTCTGTATTTCAAAGGTATATATTTTCAGTAGTCCTTTTTTCCTCCTATTGGCTGGTGGCTGGAACGCTGATCCTTAAAAACTCAAAGGTAGGTAAAATCTTTACTTAACAAAAATGCATACATATGCATTATTTCAACTAACCTAAAAGTTTCACTTATTACCACTGCTTTTTGTTGTTATTATTGTTATTTATATAGAGTCTGCCTGTTTGATGGTATGAAATCTGCATTTAAAGAAACCAAGTTTTAATTCAATGAATTGCGTTTGTGGGGTATAAAAAGACTTATGAAGGTCTTGCTTTTAGTAGTTTTCTGCTGCTTTTCTTATATGAAAAACCTAAGTAAGTTTTAAAACTTCAGAATCTTTTAGCTGGTCCAATAAGAGAGAAAAATAATTTATGAGAGCTTTCTGTAGAGTGGCTAATAGGGCTGACAAGACAAAAGTCTGTATTAGCTGCATAGATGCGCATCTAGCATTCTGTTGGCATCCTGGTGAGAAATCCCAGTACAGAAATGTTGTCCAATATTTACCACGGTTTGGCTGCTTCTATGGGAAATCAAATGGCAGCATTTTGCATTACAGACCCCAGTGGTCCTGGCTGCCAGAGCCGAACTTTTCAGCGCACTTTTGTCTAGAGCACCTGAGGCAAAATGGCCGGGACCCAAACTTGTGTAATGAGTTTGGCTTACAAGTACAGAAGCATTTTTGGAGCCACCTTGAACCTATTTCAAGCATTGTTTCATTAGACAACGGGGTTGAAATCTAGCGAGTATGTTCAGTGCACCAAAAAAAGCACATGACCATGTCTCTTTAAGAGCAGCTTTTCAAAGCTGGGAAGTTTTAACTTGGTAAAAGCAGACTTGTAATGGACCCTGTAGGCTCCAATTACAGAAAAGGTCTTGGTTTTATTGTAGCTATAACAGAACTTTATGTGTACCCAAGCTTTGCTGTTGGACCTGTTTTCTAGAAGCTCCTCAGAAACAGCTCAAAAATGTATCTGTCAAGAGCTTTTTATGCTGCTAGACACTGGGTTTGTTTAACTGAACTTTAGAACATTTTTTAAAAATTCTTTGAACTAGATGGAAAATGGCTCCCATTACTTAGTAAAAAGACAAAAGAAGGGAAATTATATCCTTTTGTATGTACTTAAGTGCTTCTAAGCAGCACATTACTCTGCTCACGTAATGTCCTAATAATTGTCCTAAATCTGTCAGGAGAAGGAAAGATACACCTAAAAAAGCTGCAAAGTGGTGATGCTCCTGCCCCCACCATCAGTGGTTAAAGACATTTATGTCCTGTAGTTAGAAATAATTTTATTCTACTACAGCTCTCTCTGCTTGTTATGGTGTGTCTAATACGTGAGTGTCATTTAGAAGAGGGAGGGAGAGGAATGTTTTCTACTGCTTGTAGCTTACAAAACAGAAGAAAAGCATCGCTCTTAGGATGCTTTGTGTTCTCACGGTGATTTCCACCTTCCTACTTCACTGGGTTTCAGCCGCCTTCTCTGCAGATACATGTCCACTGAATTAGTAGAGTAAAACATCCTTTTCCAAAACTTATGCTTTTTGTTTTCCTTTAAACATATGTATTAGTCAGCTTATGAACATTAACACTTTACCAAATCAAGTTAATATTCACTGTATTTGGGAATATTTCTATCATATCTCCCCTTGCACATTTTGGAGTAAACATTATCTTTCTCAATGCCAACTTAATTAGCTCTTTCTCTGGTAGCCTCTCCAAGGTATTCATGTCCAAACACGACTATATGGCCATATCTGCTCATTCTTCTGGAAAACAGATATATAGATCTGATATACTGGGAGTTTATGACAACACTACACTTTACCTGAATGTCATTAATTTTTATGGGGGCAGAGGAGAAGGGCACAATCACTTTGGTGGAATGCAGTGGTGTCCAAGAATGCAATCTCATTGAAATGATGGCAGATTAAGTAAAGTTTTATAGACTATCCAAACTGAGGCTGTTTATGGCATAGATAAGGCCATGTATCTTTCACAAAAATGAGACCACAGAAAATTCCTCAGCTACTATGATAGTTGAGAGGATTTTTCTTAACAGTCTGACTGCAATGCATTTTTTTTCCTTCCTTGGAGATTGATCTGAAGTCAGCTGAAGTATTTCTTTTTTAAAAGAAAAGAAAAATACAAATGCATTTTGATGCTGGCTATCTAAGGAGAGAATGTGGGGAAAAATCAGCTATACTGCAACATCACTCAAGAAACAACAGGACTCCAGAACTATCAGAATGTCATGCTTTGTAGCTCACTAAGCTATTTAATAAAAATTCACACTCTCGAATAAATGGTAAATAGGTTGACTGTCAAATTATGTGGTGTTGCTGTGGGTTTTGTGGTGGTTTTGTGGGTTTTTTGGTGGTTGTTTTGTTTTTTTTAACTTCAGGCTCTGTGAAACAATTGCCTAGACCAAATGTGCAAGGTGCCATGGAATAACAACACGGACCCATATGGAATGTGTTTGAAGTTTTCAAGAAGGTATCCTGCCAGACTTCATTCCTTAATGACCTTTGATACACCTTGGGTAGTGGAAAGGCAGTTCAGATTTGTATCTTGTGATCATATGATTTTGGCAGCTATCAGAACATGAAGGATGCTAAAAGTTAAGGCTTTTATCCACAAACAATGGTGTATATTAATAAACTCTCTACCATATTTACAAATGCTTTCTCTTGTATTAAAACTAACGGTATTCTGTTCACAGTGCCAATGTTTTTACAGGTAGCAATCCCACAGTACTCCAGTATTTTGGCATGGGAATCAGTAGCGCTTTGTATTTACAGAAAATATACACAAATGAATATAAACATGTTACTTGAAACAGTACTCAAAAGATAGATCTGTTCGTGTTTCAAAGTTTTAGACTGTACAACACCTTCCCTTTTGTTTGCGAGGGAATACTGTTCCTTGCAATGAGAAGATGCCCGTCTTTTTATCCAAAGTGGCATAAAAATGTTTACCAAAATGAGCCTTGTTACACCGGAGTTGTGTACGTGGAGAGTAGCTTCAGTCCAAGGTTTTGTAGATCTGTTGTTTAGTGCACAGAATACAAAAGTTAAAAAGGCTTTTGTTTTAATTACTAAAATAACCGGACTCTCTCTGCCCTCTGCGAGCGCTGTCTCACTCAGCCAGTGTCCTCTGGATGCTGAAGGTGCTGGTGGTTTAACGTGCAGCCCCGCTGCCAGCCTGGGAAGCGTAGGATGCTCTGGGCCTATATACATATGTCACAGTATGACTCATGGTGAATGGAGATCTGACCAGGAGTGCCTCTGTCTGCCTCCCCTGTTCTCTCAGTAATTCTCCCTGCTTCACGGCTTCAGTACGGCTGACTGTGACTCCACATTCAGGCAGTTCATGATCAGAAGTGATGAATGGCATCAGGCATGAAGAGAGGGGAGAGGAACGTGAAGGACATCCAGAAAGGAACCCAGCAGAACCGTGGGCTTGTTTGCAAGGACCCTTACAGCTTCTGCTTTGCCATTTCTTCCCTTTCCACAGTCTTGACAACAGGCTCCTAGCTCCCCGGGATTTTGTTTGCTGCTGTGATCAAGACAGAGATAGTGCTCTAAGGAAAAGTGCAAAGCTGCCACTAAGGAGTCTCTTCATTTAAAGTCTGTTCTTGGCTGCCAGTCACTTGACCTGAGTGGTCATTGCTCCTACTACTGCTGTGTTGCTTGTGGAGCAAACTCCTCCACTTGGCCTTGTTCCTCCTGAGATGGTTTAGCATGTTTTCAGATAGGGGGGTATCGCCTGTAAACTGGGCCCACCTCTCGAAGAGTGGCTCTACAATGTATGTCATGAACCCTGGGGAAACACACAAAGAACAGCAGGTGAGGAACAAATTCATTCCCTGAGTGCATTGCCCCACAGAATGCCTCGAGAGAGCACAGCAATGTAAGTGGCAAAAACCCTGATGAGAAATGACAGTAATGCCTCAAGCAGTCATCAGCTTCTTTTGAAATACACAGCTTTTGACTAGCGCACATGACAAGATCTGGCTGTATCTGAGCGTGTAACAGGAAAACCTGTGAGAGACTGCATCCTTCTCCGAGGAGGTTTCAGACTGGAAAGTAACCGGTGTGTAATCTCATGATGGCTGCGATTTTTCTTCACAGATACCAGAATCACCCCTTTTTTCCCTATGCCATAACCCTTCTGTCCTTCTATTGAATATTTGGCTTGGATAGGTTTCTTTTTGACCATTTTTATTTAGAATGTGAATCATGACTCTTAAGACAGCTACAGTTCTAATTGTTAAAATAACTAGATTTGGGGCAGGGAGAAGAAAAGTTTCTCTTTGAGCTTATGCCATACTAAGGTAAACATGGAGAGAAGAGAATGAAACTAATACTTACCAATCTGTATGCTTGGTATTGTATCCTTCTGCTGATTACAAAGTGGGCTTATTTCCAGTTTGAATTTTTGTTCCAGGTCACCTGCAAAAAAAGAAAAAAAAAGAGAAAATAATTTGCTGCAATTTCTCTCTCTTCTCCATACCCATGTCAGACTCTTAAGTGACTGCAGCTGGAGGGATTTGAGCAGTTGGAATCTTCCATCAATGGCGACCATGTTAAATGTCTAAATACCTTCTTTTTTTGAACTTTTTTTTTTTAGGTACTAGAGAAACTAACTCTGGATACAAAGAAAAATCTTTGTAAGGAAAAATGTCTTTTGAAGGAACATTAAATCTGAGCAATCACATGTTCCAATGAACTTAATTTTTAAAATAAATTCTCACACACAAAAGATTTTTAGGACATTCTAGTGCATTTACTGAGTGTTCAATTGCCTTCCTATGAGAAAAATACAAAATACGTATTTTAGAAGAAAAACATCTCTGTTAGTACTATAGTGCAAGTTGCTACTGTGTGCTCACAGAAATTGCTGTTAAAAGGCAGTGAGATGGAGGCTGGTGGTGCACAGCTGTGCCTAGCAAACTAATAAGGGCCAGAGCATGGGCTTGGGCAACATGTGCTCACATGTCAAGAGCTATGACATTCAAGTTATAAATGTAGAAAAAAATGATGAAATTAAGTTTTTCTTACAACTGTGGTGTAGCTGGGTATCAGCTGGTGCAGCTGCGCTGAACTTACATCACAAATTCCCTGGGTGGTCCAGGAAACCCCTACGGAGTCGTCTGCACAGGACTGACTTGAGACAGCAGACACACTTGAAACAAAGTGGTTGATGAACTCCCAGCCACCTTCCTAGCACAGTATGTGAACTAACTGGAAGGGGAGGTCTCTAGGTGCCTATCTGGGACTGCCCTGAAGACTCCTACAAGGCAGCGCTTGCTGTGACTGGCCCTGGGGTCCGCTTGAAATCGTTGAAGAACAGGCCAGATGGGGGATCTGCTCCCTCCAGATGCTACCTGACTGCTCCTGCTACAGAATTGACCAAATCTGGCATCAAGAAGATGCTTATAAACAGTCAGTAGAAACTCTTCCTGCAGATGCAGAAATGGTCACACAAAACAGTCTTTCGTACATAGCTAAGACAGGGATGAGATACTTCTAATGCAGTTGAACGTAATCAATAGCAATGATCATGCCTATGCACGAGAGGTCACAGAGGACCACTGGCCAGCTGGATGGAAAAATTTAGCAGAAAACAAGCTCAGGGAGTCTCATTTGCTCCAGCTGAAGCTGCTGTTGCCATCCAGGCAGCAACCACCTGTCCTGCTGGAGGGACTGCAATTGTAAAACCTCAGCACAAAAACTTGCCATTAGCGTTACTGAAACATTAGCCATTTTCTTGAAACTTGTTTCTTGCCAGTTCCAGATTTATACAAACAAATCAAGTAGCATTATTTACCCTGTGTTTCTATTAGAGTTTTAAAATGCCCATTTGAGAACTAGTTAAAGTATTTTCTAGGAAAGGTTCACGTTAGGAGCTGTGCTAGGCATCCAATGCTCCCTGAAACGCACCCGAGTTGTATATTTTATTTTCTAACAGATGTAGTGTAGATGCACCGAATGACTGGAAGATCAAGATCTGAGTCTATTAAAATGGCATTAGAAATGTTTGGTACAAAAATATTTGAAGTTTGTAGGTGTTCCAGAAGGACCATTAAACAAGGCACGAATTGTGCCTCATCCATAGTTAAAAATCAAAACATGATAAATATGGTTTTCAAATGCTAAAAAAAATAGCTTTAAGCCCCAGCATTGTGTTTAAGGGAGTAGAGAGGTCTACAGTAACATTTTAAAGTGATAATAGTATCTAAATACATGCTATTTAATATTGGCTTTGTACCACCTACCAGAATTATACAGCTATCAGTGACAGTCAGATCTCAATTTCTGTATATTTTCCCACATGAAACACTTTTTTTCCTCCCTATTACATTTCTAACTGGTCTTATATGATCCAGTGTCCCCTTTCAGAGGTATATTTTAGATGTTATACTAATAAGGAGAAAGGGTTGGAGAAAGGAGATATTAATAACAGGAGAAAAAGCTTACATTTATGAGTTGAGAGTGCTGTCTTTCTCAGCATCATCCCTCAATACTCTAAAGGTGAGGTATCGCTCAACTGGGGCCCTGTCCACATGAGTTGGATGTGGATTATGCCTTCACTATACATCTGAGTAAATAAATCTGCATCTGGCAAGTTGCTTGTGTTGCTTCAAAAGCAAAGTTAAAGACACTTCACCAGCTTAAACCAACACTGGCTGAAAATTAACTTGCTGACCTATTTGCCCTTGACTAACTGTACCAGGTACCAGCTCGGACACGGCTTAATTTTGTAGTGCACAATTTTAAATTAATTGAGAACTTCATTGCTTTTCCAGTGTTTGTATCACTCGCCTTCAGCTCTCAGGATGCTCTGAATAAAGAATTTAGCACTGATTAAACTCTGCTGCACCCTGTGTTGTAGCACAGCATGACCTTGCCTATGCAGATAGAGCCAAATGGTGTAATTACTGTGCTTCAAAAAAACCCCTGCCTGACTGTGCTCTCTGTGGGGGTTTGAAAACATTTGCAATAGGTCCTAGCCGAGCTTTGGCTTGCCTACTTTTGCCCTTTCAACAGTATTAGAAGAGCTCGGCGTGCTGGGAACTGTGTTTGAACCCTTTCTCTGCATTTGTAGGCACAAGAATGTGTCATATTTGGGAAACAGTGAGGGTAAGGCTCCCATCAGAGTTGTACTGGGAGCGTGAAAATTGAGATAAAACACAGTGGACAGAAGTAGGATTTTGGGGTAGTGTAGCCCTGACACCGCTCCAACTCAGAAGAGCAAATGGTGATGGGAAGGCTCTCCAGCCAAATTCAAGTGTGGGGGAACAGCAGAGCCCTCCCTCCTGCCTCTACAGCAGCAGAGAGGGCAAAGAAATACTTGCTGCTCTTCTGTCCTTTCCCACTTTTCAAATGAGGCAGAGTATCTCTTCAAGAGCTCCTTCTGAGGGACATTCCAAGGCACACTGGGTAGGCTGAATGCTGCCTCTGCCTCGCCACCCAAAAAGCCTGGAAAGCTGAGGTAAAAGGGGGCCACCATGCACAGAGGGGCTGACCTTGCCGGTAAAACTCTTCGCAGACCCGCTCACTCCACTGTTTGCTCAGATCCCAGAGGCGGCAAGGGTTGCAAATGTCAGCGCACTTGAGCGCAATCTGAAAGCAAAGAAGAAAAGTAGCGGTGAGAAAAGAAATTACTGTCCAGCAGTGCTCAAGCAGCCAATCTGCAGCTGTGAAACTCCCAGACCTCACCAATGATGCTGGGAAGGGTTAAGATCACCTTTCAGAGGCTCAGCCTCACCCAAATATGCCTTTTGAGGAAAGAGCATTTATTTAAGCTGCAAACAAAACTTTCATTCAGCCCTCCACTTTACTGTAGTGAGAACAAGAGGAGGGCCAAATTCCAAGGCTGCAAAGTCTTTTGGATATTCCTTGCAAGGAATAAGCCAACAAAAGCCTCAGGCTGGCTCCTGCTGACTGCTTGGCTCAGCATCCATGGCTGATGACAAGGAAGGGGAAAGCCAAGCCAGTGTAAGATTATTTGAGCATCATTGCTCTGCAGTCTCAGTGAGACTGCATCTCACTTCAATTACACTTCATCTTAACATCGGCATATTTTTGTTTACAGAGCTATGCAGAGAGCTCTCTGCACTGCCCCTGGCTTGGTTTCACTTAGGTAACTAGTACTTTTAAGTGCTTTGCAGGAGAAGTAGTACAGGAGGGCAGGAGGTTTTTTTAAATCAAGAAACTGCTTCAGAAAAGAAAACCATGTAATAGGCTGCCTGTCTTACTGCCTTGGAACAAGATGTCATATGCCTTTTTTCTTCACAGATTGAACACAGTCGGTTATAGCCTGAGAAAGGTCAAAAATCATTCTGGCACCAGGGAGGAAAACATAAGAAATATTTTCTGTATAAATTCAGACCTGTGAATCAGAGGAGGGAAGTCTCTGAGTTACTTTTCTCTCTGGATTAAACTGATTAGTCTTAATGCTACCGTCTATTACAAGGACCTTTCAAACATTCTTTAACTTACTTCATCAATCAAGATTTCCTGGTATTTTCTTTTCTTCTTCCACAACTAATCCACCAGATAAGTAAATCTCAACATGTTTGTGCCCTAGTTCCTATCTCCAAGAAAGCGCATAAGAAACTTTTTGCCACAGCTGAGATCTGTAATCCCTGTATCTTTGGCATCTGCACAACTTTCTTGCCTAATCTGTCCAGCAATATGATAAATGCATCACCCTGCCCTGTATGGTCTGTGCAGGAACATGACAGAGGACTGTATTTGATGGAGGGCAGATGAGCAGATTACTGCATTTCCCACGCTGGTGGAGGGGAAAGAACTACCAGATGAGCACTTGTTTCCTTTCAGCTGCCACCGTTCCTGTAACCTCGACAAAGTGATAACATGTAGACGTTTGTTTTGTAAATGATAATGATTACTTAAACTCCTTTATGCATTTAAGAGTGAAATTAATGTCACTTCTTCAGAGAAGCATGTATATGCAGCTCCTTTAGTCACAATAATGCTTTAATAGGTAGAGGTTTATTCCAAAAAGCCTGCTAATGACTGCAGCTTAGCTGGAAGAGCCAGTCTGAACCTTTTTGATTTTTAAATAAAGCACGGTTTCTTCATTAGCCAGGCAGACCCAGCAGAGAAGCACCGGCTGCCATGGCAACAGCTGTTTCCACAGAGGCAGTTTCTGAACACCCGTCACAGGAATGGGACATAGGCACCTGGTGTCAGGCTGACTTGGACACAACTCCAACAAGGGGGCTCTCCTGCACAGTGCTGGGAAATAACAGCGGTGAACTGCCATTTGCCAGGAGAGAAAATATAATTGAAGTGTTACTTGGAAAGAGGTGTGGTTGCATTCACAGCTTTTTAACTCAAGGAAATCACATAATGATGTACTGTGGGCAACTTATACTTGCCTGACATACCAGCAGGCAGAAGGAAAGCGCTTATGGTGAGAGGTAAGGAGACGCTGTTGTCCAGCCCCACTATCATACGCTATTCTAATGTACACTAGGAAATATCGTGACTTGAAAAATGAATAAAATACAACAGTGGAAAAATAATTTTTAAAGTTACCTGAAGCATAAAATGTCTGTCTTGTGCATCCTCCAGCCTCAAATCCTGATTGTCAAGGTGAGATTTCAGACGGATCAAAAACTCATTCTGCCTGTTGATGTCTGTTGCCAAAATCAGGGAGCCCAACTGCCGCTCAATGTCCTGTCTGCAATAAGGAAAATAAGCCCCTTCAATCATGGAACCATTGAACATTAACAGCTAAAAACAACCTGCTACAGATCATAGCCAGCACAAAGCTTCCTCTTTCTTTATGGATCCAGTCTGATCTGTTTGGTCAGTCTCTGCTGGGGTTTGCAGGGTACAACTGTTCTATCTGCCTAGGAGGAATAGATAATGGAGAAGAAAAATACTTGTTGGTACAGATGGTTCTGAAAGCTTCTGAAAAGTGCTAGGAAAATTTAAAAAAAAACTCAAACAACAGCATAGCGTCTAGAAAAAATGCTCACATTTTACTTCAGCTGCTCAGAGCTGGGTGCTGAACGCTGCAACTCTAAAGCTGTAAATGAAGTTGTAAAGGACAGGACTGAAGGACCTTATAGTAGGACTGAAGTTGTTGGTCTGATGCAAAGGCGTTCTGGAGGGATAGGGAGCTTACAGTTTACAGGTAACTTGTTTATATTCTGGTAAGGTCACCTGTGATTAAAACTCATTATTGCAGGCTGTTCATTGACTCAGTCTCCATCCCTTGGTGGGAGTAACACTGCACAAAACCAGGAGTTAAAAAGTTAGCATCAATTTGGCCGAGGTACTCATCTTGCTGTTTTGTTTTGGTTTTCTTTTTTTTTCTGCCTTTTTATTTATTTATTCATTTTTATTTGCTTCACCCAAAAAGACAGTGAAGACTAATCCACACCACCTCACTCAGGCGTGGAAGTCCTGAGCAGTCGTCATGCTACTCAACCAGCTCCATTTTTATCTCTATTTCATGCTTTTTAATCCCTAAATCTTTCCATATTTGGTTGGCGCTATGCAGAACGAAAATTGCCAACAATGGATCTGAAAAGGTCCATTCCCGCTGGGACTCCCAATGTTCCTGGTGTTGACAGGAGTCATTCCTTTGCTGCAGAGTTGGCAAAGTCTTACAAAATACTTCTGCAGTATAACTTTGTCTCATGATTTTGTAGTGGCACCAAGAGAGGGCAGGGAGTTCAGCCTACTCTTTGGGCCTCTTTGCCAGCATCCTTTTAAGAGGAGCAAGGGAAGGCATGGACTACTCTGAGTGATGCATTTCCTCCAGCAGACACTTACGTCACCTCCTTGGGCAGATGGGCGAGGAGCCGGGACTCTCGAAGCATGCCTATTGTAGACCGCCAGTGATGATTTTCTAGCACTGAAACGTTCTAGGGAGAAATAAAAGGAATAAATTCAAGGATTAGGCAGGTATCCATGGTACCGATACAGATTCGTCACATCACACGATGCCTAAATCTAGTTGGAAGTGCTGTAACAACAGCCTAAAATGTGTGCTTTTTAGCCACCTTTTGGATTTGAGGAATTGGTCTGGATTTCTAGAGTTAAGGACCTTGTGCTTTTTGGTTTCCTAGCTAAGGTCAACCCTAAAGTCCTGTTGTTCTACAGTTTTTGAGTCCTGCTGTGAACAGAGGAGTTAATCTCATCTGAGTGGGAGGTAGCTTGCTTTCTAACAGATTTATTAACAAATGAATTAAAGCATGAGTGAAAAATCATATTTTTACTTCCTACTGATCTCAGGCTGACTTCTCAGCTTCTACAGTTTGAATGCCGATCAGGCACAAAAAAGAAAACTAAAGTGCCAAATTTCCCTTGGAATCAGGGAACTGAAAGCCTGGAGCTGCTTGGTGAAAGCAAGAGGAACATGAGTATCACTGAGCAACTGCAGGCTTCAGCAACTTAGGCTGCAACAAATTGTGAGTCCTTTTTGTTTGTTTGCTTCCGCCTAAGTGGAATCAAAGTTAGGTCAGAAGAAAATTCCAAGGGTACAGAAACTCAGCTTTCTAGGTTGTTTGTAAATTGCAACAGATTGGGTATCTTGTGTCTGATGGCTTTATATTACTGTCCTAACACAATGCATTTGCTGGTCATCACTTGTTTAGTTCACAGAGCACTTTTTACCACTGCATGCCTCAGAGATGTCACTTGTTCAGAAACCTCTAACACACTTCTTCCAATTGCAACAACGCACACAGTGTGAGAGAGACGACTGTCACCTAGCAATAGGGACACCTTCCGGGGAGTTACGGCAGCCAATCCCTGTTTTGGGTGCTTTATGGCTTTTGTAGTAGATGAGCGCTGAGCTTAAAAAAGCCAATCACAACCAAACCTTCTGGGCAGGTAGCAGAGCACAGACTCCATCCCATCACTGCCAACTGGGAAACAAGTCAAAATCCCTCTCTCTGGCCTCTGTTGATCTCTGGCTCCTTCCTGTACAGTCCCACAGCTCTGAGGTGTACCTGTGTTAGTGCTGCCTTTCCTGTGGCGTGGGATGCATAGCTTCCACTTCTCCAAAAAGGATGGAACAGGATTTTCTCTTTGAGATTTCTCCATCCTCCTTTGTAATCCTGTCATATCTAATGACTGCTGACACACTAATACTTATTGCCAGTAACCACAACACAATTTGCATTTTATCATTTTGTCAGTATTTTTCTTGAAATTTTGTGCTCAAAATTAGTGCAGTGGTGAGACTGCAAATTTGATCGATTTCCCATTATACTGTTTTCTGTGGTATGGTCTGTTGCTTTTGAATGCATGCAAATGCTGATATGTTGCTTTGGTATTTCTCTGTGGGATTTTTTTGGTGGTGGTGGTGGTGGTGGTTTTTTTCCCCCTAATAGCAATCACAGATACTAGGGGAAAATAAACAAACCAAAGCAAACCCAACCCCAAACTTTCCAACCATGCAAAGACCAAGTCCTCTTCCTTGGAAAAGATGACGGACTCAGAACTCATCATCAGCTATGCAATATCTAAGTTACTTTTGACACTAATTCTGTCCATTAGCCAACTTAAATATCCCTCTTCTCCTTTTGCCTCAATACATCAGGATAGACTTTTGTAATCCTGAACTCCGACTGAGAAAAATAAGGGAATGTAAATAGGACATAATAACAATCAATTTTTTCTTCTTTCACCTCCCTAATCTCAGAGCTGAATCCTGGTACCAACACACACCTCAAGTCCACATGCTGCCATCTTCCTACCCTAAGATAAATTGGGCAAACCCTGCCCAACTGTTACCTTTGGCTTTTGGGAAGGTTTATACTCATTTAAGACAGGACCTGTGGGCACAGTTCCTGCAGCCCTGGTTTGACTGCACCCTTGAAACATCCTGATAGAGAAGATCCCCCTCGCAGCCCTCTGTGCCTCCGCATTCATTCCAACACTGCAGTGTTACTTGCTGGGATGAGCTGCTTCAGCAGCACCTATCTCAAACAGAGAACTGCACTCCATGGATGCTGTTCCTCTTTGGCCATGCTGAGGGACAGCCAGAAGAGGGCTGAGCATGTAGGCATCCAAGAACTTACTTGCATCCAACTAAGAGTTACTCAAACAGAAAAGCAAACTCAGGTATCCATCCCAGAGTAATTCCACTTCTGGAAGTTTCTGCTCTTTGCCTGCTGCCATAAGGAGAACTTAAACCAAAGCCACAGCACTGCCTAGTTTCCCACACTCAAAGTACAGGAAGAGGGGAAAAGGAAAGGTCACGTTAACAAGCGACAACTGAGCATGAAGTCATCTGACTCCCCTGTTAAAAGCCAGAACCCCTGAAGCTGCTGCCAACAATTAGTAGAGCCAGCTATTCCATCTCAGAACACTCTGCTGCCTTATTAAGACTAATTGCCATGAGCTATCTGATTGCTGAGGCTGGTGAGGCTATAACCCATGCAGTGAAAAGTCCATGTACTGGCTTGCAGACTGGGCTTCTCAGCCCTGATCTCCAGAGAGCTTGTTTCTCATAACTTTTTATTTAAAAACCCCACTGAGTAGCACAGGTTTGTTTTAAAGGCTGCATGCTAGGAAGACTCTGCCGTATCTACTGCCTAAAACTAGTGGATTGCTCTAACACGGACTTCAGGACTGTGGGGAAAAAGTCGTGTTTTCTTACTTAGACTATCACAAAATCTCCAGCCTGTGACTGTCCCTGAGCCATTCAAACCACCACACCTGCCATACTCATTTTGAAAAGAATAATAACTTGAAGAGAGGAAGACTTGCTATTAACTAGATGCAGAGAAAACTTCAATTTTAATTCAGAGTGGACAGCAATCTATATTTCTTTCAATCTGGACATCCATTCTTAGTCACTGAGCAGTTGGTTTAACTGCACAGTGGTAAACACCTGAAAACAATACTTTAATTGAAATGGTGCTGCTAAGGAAGACTGCAAAGTAGAACTGCTGTAATTGATGCCCAAAACCTATTTTCCTAATTCTAGTTTGTATACATCTATATTAATTTTGTAAAACATTCTTTCACAGATTTCTGAAATCTGTATTTTAGATGTTGAATGTGATCGTACCAGACTTCTAAACTATTACCCTTCATTCAAGAGCCAAAGATAAGAGTTAATTGTGACTTTTCAAGCTACGGAGACCTAAGACAATGATTAACTAGTAAGAATGAAACTTTTCGTTTTAGTAATTGCCAATGTAAATTAGAAGCAAAGTCTGCATTACACAAGGAATGTTGTGTTCCTCACAGGAGATTGTGACCTCCAGGTCCCTACTGTGACCTCTTGCCAGTGAATGTTCATAAACAGGATACTTAAAAATCACATTTGCTGTTGAAAGATTGCATTGTCTGAATTGTCGCTAACCAATATTTGAAAGGATATTCAAGCCCAGGTAGTTCAGCAGAAACCACCTCTCCAAGATACTAATATTTTATTTTAGAAGCATTTCTTTCAGATTAGCCTAAATTTTCAACCTAATTATATATTAGTGTTTACCACTATTTGAGAAGGCACTGTTTACACCTTTTCATAGAACCAGGGTTTTTGTGGAATGGCTCTACCCATTCCTCTTCAAAGGATCCTTAACATAACCTTCCCAAAGTCCCCTGGCTTTTCTCTCTCCCCACTCAGCTGGCCTGACATTTAGAAAAGGCTGGAGTGAAATGCACAGACACATATGGGCATGACTTAATAAGCTGTTTCAGCTTGTGATGAGGCCAGCCACAAATTTTTAAGTGTCTGAGCATCACTGTGCCCTGGCTGGAGTTCCCATGGTCCAGCCCGTTCCTGTATCTCAGGGCACGACAGCTGCACCATTACACAATCCACTTCTTATGGGAAACCCCAAATGTTGCTTGAGTAGGGGAAAAGAAGACAGAAACTCTTTTCAAATAGTAAGCACATCACAGTAAACCCTCAATTTGCTAAGTATGTGTAGAAAGGTACATAGCTATTAGTGAGCCTTCTTCAGCTAGTTAGATTAGTTTTTAACTTCGGATATTCTGTTTCTGACACGTTATTACAGAGGCTGGAGTTGACTCTTCCAAAGGCTAGAAATCAATACCACCTCCATTTATTAGCTATCAGTTACAGTCACAACCAAAATTATTTACGGCATTGCTCCGGCGTGTATATGTAAGTATAATGTAAATAGAGCTGTGCATATATAATAATGTATACATGCATCCAAAGATTATACACATAAGGTAGTTGTAGATAAAATCCAGAGCTACAGTGATTGGCATGGGCCAAAACTACAAATACACTCAAAAAGGTCCACAAAAATCAGGACAGGATGGGTTAATTAATAGTTACTCTGTTTTCGTTTCAGGAAGTCTTCTACTACTGCTTTCCAGAGCTGGGAGGATGTATACACGGTGAAGGACACCTCTATACTTATCCCAGGCTCATGTTTCTCTCTGACATCTTTTACTGGCTGCTCTTAGAAACAGGATACTGGTCTAGACAGCCTGTGGTGTGACCTACAGTGGCTGTTTTTAAGTTCTTTCTTTGTATCTCTAGGCATATTTGTGTAACTGTCTACAACTTTTCCTTTGGTTTCCTTTATCATCTATTTTTTTTTAATTGCAGTACTCATCAAGTGTTTAGTTTTTCTAGAGCCACATGAAGCAAAAGTTTCTTTCAGTGCAACGCCAATTTAGAACATGCCTGCTGCTTATTTGCTCACTGAAGGAGGATGAAGTACGAATTGTCTCACCATGATTTTAAATCTCCTATCCCCAGTTCCTCATCCAAGATGATCTACAGCAGAAATAACCTAGGCAACTGATTTGGCTTAAATGTCCTCAACAAAAATCTGACATTTTCAGCCTCTTTATCATGTGTGTCAGCTTTGCTGTAAGAAGAGACACCCAGTGAGGAGCTTAGCTGAAATTGTCCAGAATCTAAAGAGCAGGTTTATTTGAGCAACATCCCCCCACTGCCAGATTTTGCACTGCACTGCACTGCAAATTGCTTAGACTCTCCTCGACACCATTCTACATATTACCAACTTGATGAACAGTTTTACCTGGTACAGGCTGGCAAGGTGGTGGTTAGTTTTGATCAGAAAGGGTTGGTTGACCCCTGGATGATCCACATCATGAGCCGCAGCAGCTAGCAGTCCGAGCATGATGTCCAGCGGGGTGAGGAAGTTGGCAAGCTGAATCACATGTGTTAATCACAACGAGAACATGAATATAAACACCTTTTTTTTCTTTTGGCAAATAAACAAACCAGCTGACATCATGGCATTGCTCAGTTTTGTAGGCATTTGTGCATAAATGTAAAATATAAAATAAATTTTGTGAATGTTTTTGATCAAAAATCTGTAAAACCCAAACATATAAAATAAATTTTGTGAACGTTTTTGAGCAAACATCCATAAAGTTATCAGACTATACATTCATATTTTATTACAGTTTGTATTTATCCCTTCATCATTTATGGCAATATAAAGATTGCTGCTATAGAAGTGCTTGAGCTTAGTCTAAAAGATTCAGTTTTAAAAAGTAAGTACGTATACTAGCAGGTTGGCAAACGTCAGTGTATAAACAAAGGGCTCCTCCTCACACAGTGTTTAATAATACCAACAATATAGAACACTTCATTTTTCTAGCACAGCACTGTGCTGTAAAATATAAAGTTTATAAATGTTTGAAATTTCAGACTTGGCTGTTAGATATCTCATTTCATATACAGGTATTTTATTAGAGAATATAATTTTACCTTTCTGACTTCAGACAGCCAAATCTGAAAACCTGCCCAGATTTTTTTCTACCGTACAGCTTATCATTCAGAAGCAAATTTTGTTATCACCGAGAAAAAAATTGAAGTCTTAGCCTTTTCTGTTCCTGAGCATGAGGTAGTTATTACTGGCCTGATGAGTCTGCAGAGGGTATGGGTCTCTAAGCGTAAAGAAGCATCCTGTGATGAGAGGTGAAGAGGTGTATGGTACAGATTCTGGATAGTGGCTGTCTTCTCTACTGCTTGACAAGAGTGACTTGCAGATCTTGCAGGAGATGGAAATAAAGGAAAGCTGGGGCCTGGTCCTGTCCTCATCATTCCTATTTGCAATATCACCGTGCCTTCCAGTAACTCCTAAAGCAACGTCACACCCCGTCACACCCCCACCTTGTGAGGCCTTGCTGCAGCAGTCACGAAGCTGCTGTTCACTCGTGCAGAGGATACCCTTGCAACAGACCCAGTCAAAGGGACCGTTTCCCCCTCTTCTGGTGTTGCACTGCCCAATTTGGTATTCCAAAATGTCAAGGTGAGAGGCTTATGCTCTGAAGGGACTGAGGCAGGGGCATGCCCTGCCTTCTCCTGGCTTTGCTGGGAGGACTGCAGCCACTGGCGGGTGGCTGGAACACACGGGCATGGTAAAAACTTGCTGGAGCTCATACAACAGCACTTTGATATGTCACCTGTATGACGAGAAGTGACTCCAGTAGTTTATGTGAAGTCTCTGTAATCTATAGCTGACTCTGCTACTGCCTCGTTGGAGACTTCAAGTACACAATCATTTTCTGTGATCTAAAAATAGCTTTGGGTTTGTTTTTTGTTGTTTATTTTTTTTAAGTCCTGGGAAAAAATTGTTTGAAAGCAGTATCAGTGTGAAAGTTTGTCATTACCTTGGGCTCCCTCAGATAGCAGTGCATAGCTTGTGTGACATCAGCAGCATGGACAGCATTGTGGTATGGGTTTTGGCTATGGTAATCTTCTTGAACCATAACTGGGAATCAAAACAGAAAACAAAGATCCTGTTATCTCTGAATGCCATGCCCACAAGCGGGAACTGGATTTAAAATACAATTTGAGGTTTTACAGTCGGCTGCCTAAGGAGATTCTTCAAATATCTGTAGCTTACTTAGACTGGTGCTCTTTTTGGGATACCTTTAGAGAAAAAATGCATGAAAGGATTTGTGAGGCCCAAGGGGATATACTGGGTCTAGTTCATAAATCAACTCTTTCTTGCCTTAGTGAAGGCTCTCATTCAGGAGTAAAATAAATAAGGAAGAGGGACAAATTTATCCACAACAGAGTGTAATTATTTATGCTGCTGTCATAGGGGAGCAATATGTCATTAAGGCAATACCACCAATTCTGCAGCAGCAGGGGATGAGGCTCTGATATCCTGGCATCATTTGTTATTTGAGTGACTAGCAATGGTCAAAGGCAATCCTATGTCCTCCAGACAGAGAATCAAAAGATACAGCATTTGGGGTACTCAGAACAAAATTTTAGTCACGTCCATGCATCCATTTTAAAATACCAGTTCCTCCTGTTTTACTGTGCAGTGCTGGAGCTGATCCAGCTGGAAGATTGAGCCACAACCTTTTAACTCTCAGCTTTCACTTACACAGAAAATCATCGAGGTGTGTCCTTCACACCCATCTGTTCCTTGCAGCAGTGCCTGCACCATTAGGCAATACCACATGAACACTGGAAGCTGCATGTGATCCTGCCCAAAGCGCTCTCCTAAACGCTATCAAATTAATCAGAGAGGTAATGGGCAAATTTCCCATGGCACTTGTCTCCAGCATGGGGAACACTAAAGAAAGTCCCAGCCTTCTGTTTGTTCCCAGCTCCACCAGCATTTGAAGTTACAGTGGGTAATCCTTTAAACCCTGAACACCACTAGCTCTAATTATCTGAGCATCCACATCACAGCCGCCCACAGGAGTCAGACACGGTGGGAAGACTTTGTCTGCCTCCACACCAGAGGAATGTTTTCCAGAAGCAACAATTACGTAGCCTTAAAGAAGAGAACCCTGCCTCTGAAACTCCACCTGACAGCCTAACAAACTGGCATTCAGCTGCATTCAAAACATGATGCAAAAAGTAATTGATTTTGGCCAATTTCTTCTTTTGGTTCGCTGACAGTATGGGGCTAATATTTCTGTTGGCAGTAACAGCAGCAGGGGCTTTCATCAGCACTATTCAGTTCAGACAGCTTGCTATAATTTGTTAAATTTTGCACATAAGCTTTAAACTGTTCTGGGTCTCAGTGGTCTGTCACTAAAATAATGATGCTGCACCACAACTATTGTGCCTGGGTAGGTTCTGCAATGTCTGTCTGTCTGTGTGGGCCTGCCCGGCTGGCCACATCTCTGCATGACACACTTTTATTTAAATTACCAGTGCAACTGTGGTGCTGGGATGCTTCAGTCCAATACAGAGCCTTCTGAAGTCCCTTCACTGACTTAACAGATACTGAATCGAGTACCCGAGTGTCTGTACCTGGTATGCTAATACATATCACAAAAATGCTTTACTGAAATATTTGCAACAACATCGTGATTTTACATAGATACGCAGACCAAATCAGTGCCCTTTCTGATGCCCTACTTAAGCTGTAAACTGCATTTAAAGATGCCTTTGAGGTGAGCACTTACCTAAAAACCTGTGTAATGTAACCATATCTAACTGGAAATGGTGAATAAGTCCATGCACATTGAAGAGGTGACAAAGCAGTGTTACGAGACTGTTTCCTAAAAGCAGAAAGGAAGAACACTTAGATTCCCTTAACATGTAGTTACAAATCAAGCAAGGCTAAAAATTTTGGTAGTTTCCCAGCTATTAGGCAGCTCCTATCATAAGAGCTTAGATGGTACTCATATACTTAAAAGCAACTTATATAAACTACTCCCATATACATACAATCAAGACTTGATGGTATGGCTGTACCAGTGGAGTGCCATTCTTGTGTCTAGATCCCATAAAGTCATGTTCACTATTTCAACATGACTCAACAGGCAAATTGACATGGATTCAACTGGAACTCTTTTGATAGGCTTCTTTAAGAATCACACCATTTTCATATTCCCAGGTCTACTCCAGAAACGATAGAAAGGAGAATGGCTTTTCTGCCACTTCATACTGTACTAATTAATTAATTACTGACAAATCAGCAGTTCATAATCAGATTTTTTATCTTACACATGGCTGTATAAACATGTAACTAATCCACGTACCTAGCTCAGCTACAGCCACATCTCACAATGAAGATGCAGTCAGCAACAAAAGAGTTGCAGCATTTACAGTTTCAAGTCCCCCTGTAATGTCACGCTGGTCAAGTTCCCCTGTAATGTCACGCTGGCCTTACTGTGAATTAAATACTGGGAACACTGGCAAAATTGAGCCCAATTAGTACTATAAAACCCAGTATACATACACATAGAGTTTAGAAAAGTTTGCACTGCATAATTCACCAGCTATGTTTCCAGAAAAGTTAAAAAAACCCCAAACCGAGCAACCCATACAATATGTAAACAATGTTTGATGGGAGTCTTTTCTCATTTAATGTAATTCAGGAAATAAAGAAAATAAATATATGTACAAAGAGCACATGGAAACTAATTTGGCCTTGGCTACAGAGCAGGGGCACTGGAAGGTAATTTAGAAGAATTATGCTTTTGCTCTCCTTGCCATTTGCAGTCCTTTCCACTCTTCACTGCCAGTCACTCAGCTGAATCACCCTCTAAAACAACTTTTCTCTACATCTTTTGCCCCAGCCAAATCTAATTAGATTGGAGGTGAGGAATGAGGGATCTCCCATTCCTGTATGCAATACAGAACGGAGAAAGCTGTGTTCATGACCCTTTTCAGCAGTTCAGATCAGAAGGTATGACCTAGACAGTGGGGGGGTGTGTGGTGTTTCAGGTGTATGTTTATACAAAAAGTTTCACAGATCTTTAATGTCTTAATCAATTCTAAATTTTGCAGCTGAACAGAAGCAACAGTATCTTTGGTTAAAAGCACTTTATCTTGATAGAAAACGACTTATTATAGAGGTCTGGTCTTATCAACCAATGGATCTAATAGGTAAAGCACTTTTGGGATTTCCTAGAGAAAGGACACTGAAACACCTTCTTGAAACTAATAAGGACTTCACAATAAAAGCAAAAGGTGACCCCAGTAAATATATGCTATTAGACTAATATAAAAGTTCTCCTTCTCTGGAGATGTTCAAAACCCGCCTGGACGCCGTCCTGTGTAACCTCATCTAGGTGTTCCTGCTCCGGCAGGGGGATTGGACTAGATGATCTTTTGAGGTCCCTTCCAACCCCTAACGTTCTGTGATTCTGTGATTCTGTGAAAAACACACTTTAAATATTATCCTACAGTTGTGAACATTCTGGGAAAAGCCTGGAAATGTTCAAGGATATGATTTTAAGAGGAGTTAACTGTTCAATTTATCTTCTGTAATCTTAAATGGAAAAGTTTAGCAATAAATTAGGGATTTTTAGGACAGTCGTATATGAGATATCTTAAAATAAAATATTTTTGTTTAATTACTTACCATTTGTCAAGCGGTCAAACAAGAAAATGTCAAAATCCCACATTCCCACTTTGGATAGCATATGCTAGAAAAAACAAATATGAAAAGGCAAATGACTGGTGTGTCAAACTGTGAAGCAGATGTAAATTATTACTTCACATTAATCAATCAGAGGACTGGTTGCTGCAGCTTTAAAGTTTTGTTCAGGAAAGCTATAGAGAGGTATTTGAAATATTAGACATCAATAACCAAATTTAGCTGTATTGCATAAAATAGCACTTGCACTTTTAACTGAGGAGGTTTTGAACTTGACAGAAAAAAATACCTTCAAAATGGAGCTCAAAAGATGGCATAATATAAAACAAAATATTACAAAAATATTCCCTTTTACTGCACAAGTTTTTTACTGTTCTTTCATGTCCCAAAATCAATTCAGTACAAATTCTCTTAGGCTCTTATTACAGTAAAACACAGTTGTAGCTCTCATGGTGCATATGAATTACATTTTGCTAAACAAACCAATATACAGGAATAGCTTTTATAAGCTGAGAGACAGTGCTTCTGTGAAGCCCACTCCGCCACGCGGAAGAATCCATCCATACGACCATATACATTGTTTTTACAGCTACATCAGTTCAGTCAAGAGGCCAAGTCTGGACTCACTATATGATCTGCAATGGCATATGTGTGAATGAAACGTGTTCACTTCAATCACTTAGTCAATATTCAAACCCATTCTGGATTCTTAGATTACTTTCTAACACCTGGCACATAATCTTCTCTTGCAGAGAGTAAAAATTGGCTAGGTGCAAAATCCCAACACCATCAGTTGTGCAAGTTTTGTTAGAAAATATAGTTCAAAGCAAGTATAAGAGCTGTAAAATAAGAGAATTATCTTTTGATTATTTTGAAGTTCCTTGCAGTGAACATTCCCTGTTTCCCAGCCTTTGCCACTGCCAAGAGCTACTGCGGGTTGCCTAATGGCTGCCCCACACCAGCTGAGAGACAGCTGTCTTTTTTTGAGCAGATGAATTAAATCCTGTGTCGAAGCTGCACTTACTTAAACCAGTAACTCAGCCAGGGATCCTTCATCCTTTAATAAATCCAGATTATAATTTCAGTTGACAGAATCAGAAAATGCTGAGTAGATTTAGACATTTTCTTGTTGCTTTAAGACTAAGCCTTTAAAGCTGTACCCATAAAAGAGGACAGTCTGTTTGCTGTGAGGCAGGCATGTAACATGGGTCACTTAAGCCATATCACCATATATTTGTTTATCTGAACACCGAAACAAAACTGACGCGCTCTGAAATATTATTAGAAGCAATGGAGTTCTGGAGACCCGTCTTACCCTTGCTTGCCCAAGGTAGTCCTCATCCAGTAGGTACAGAGAGGCTTGTGGGACAATTCCACGCAGTAACCGGGATGCATGGAAATACCTCTGGAAACTTAACAGTCTTTTCACCTTTTTCTTGGTGCCAATTTCCCCTGAGAGTGTGGTATCTGTGAAAAGCAATCAGTACAGAAACCATGAAACCCAAGATGAAGAATGACATTCTCAATTATTCTCTATTATTTAATAAAAGAAATTGCAAAAACTTAGGTCCCTGGGTGGGTGATATATCATATATCTGTAGATGTCTAGAGGGAGCCTGAATGACTTAGTAGATTTGGGTAAGAGAAAGCTGCTTTTACTCTTCTGTGCCTCTGTGCCCTACCTACACAACTGAAAATAGCTTTGCTTTGCTTCCTCACAGGAGTGTCACTAGAATATATTAAAATTGCACAGCACTAACAGACAAGATAATCTTAGCTATCAAACCAAAAAAGTGACACCAAAAGAGACCTCAAAATACGGTTTGAAAGCAAAAATGTATGACCCACTTTTGGAAAATGAGAGAAAAGAAAGAAGTAAGAAAAGGTTAATAATCCTATTGTATTGTCTGCTGTCCTTCCCACATAGTAAGGCAAATTATAAATGAAGAAAATATTTTAGTTCTACAATTAGGAAAGCAAGTATATTCAGGCAATACAGGCCTTTCTGGTTACACAACAGAATATGCTCTTTTCACTCAGTACCAGGATAATTCTAATTCCCTAATGCTGTATGAGGAGATTTTCATATAGGACTAAATGTGACACAAAAACCACGGCAGTTTTAATACGGTGATTAAATCAGTAATTAGAGTAATTAAATTACCTTATTGTTAGTAAGAATAATACACAGGCTTCCTAAAACTGATAATGACTTAGGTAATCTCATCTGAATCTTTAACAGAACCTCACGTATGGTTGTGATGTTTGCATTTTGCAGTCTGGTAAAAGTTTTGGAGAAATGGAGGACAGAAGCTGGACAGTTGCTTGAGGGGAGTAAGATTCAACACTATTTTATATGTAAGAGGAACCTTGTAAGAAACTGAAAATTGAGCACTTCTTTTAGAGAACAGTCATGATTGCTTGAGATAAGTAGCATAACAGCTCCAGAAAAATATCCATGGACTGAAGATGACTCTCTCTATTCTACTATTTCTTTTTATGCAAAAATGCTCAGCATTTGTTCTGCTGTGAAATGAAAAGATGACTTTGTATGCTGGTTTTAGGACTGTTATTATTCTGAGAGGTTTTTCAGAGAAGTAATTAAGGGGTTTTCTTGGATCATAGATGGTGCAGTATTCGATTTCTCCAACAGCAGATGTGTGAGTACCTTCTGTAGCAAGTTTCTTCCCTAAGTAATCCAATAGCCATTGAGAGACACAAAGTTAGTAGCAACAAAAAAATCCAATCCACGCTTACATACTGTGTATCAATAATTAATATGTTTTCTTACACTTGTAAATCTCACACTTCTTGTGGGCGGCCCAAAGACCCCACTGAGTTTTAATACTATAAAGCACAAAATAATTTTATTGCAACTTGACAAGCCATGTGTTTTCATGAATGAAAACAGTAACAATGTCACTACTGTACCAGACTGAAGGTTAGATTTTCATTTATGATGTGCCAGCACCTGCTTTAATTCTCTCACACATTTTAAAAGCTGGAACAATTTCACGACCTGTTAAAGGAGTGACTAACATAGGTGCTAACAGTTACCCTGTGACAGTGACATGCAGAGCAACCAGTAGACTTGTTTTCACATTTCTTTTCATTTATATGGTGCTGCTAAGAAGTGGCTGGCATTCAGTTTAATTCCTGGATACCAAAATCCTCTTAAATTAATTCATTTTTTAAATTTCTGTCAGCTGTTTCTTGACTTCCCAATGTTCCTAATTCCAAACTGTCACTGCTTTCACGTAACAAGTTTAAATTTTAAAGTATAGATAACTTCCTTTATGTATCTTAAAAATGAGCAATTGCTCCAACTAATTTTTATCTAAGTTAATATCTGTCTTTTCAGTTAAAGACAGATGACTGAAATTACCACCCATGTTCCCCTAAGGTGTCTTTAAAACTCACACATAGAGTTGCTGTGGATAATCTGAAGGTGAAGGTTTGGTCTGAGTCCCAACAAGCAGATGCACATTGGATTATGAAGTGGTTATTTTATCCTTTGGATTACCCGATTATTTCAGTAGCACGAATAATACTTACCAAACCACAAACACATCAGGTTGAAAGTAATAATCTGTTATTGTGAAACATATTTTCTGAATTGAACCATCAAACTTGTTGCAATCGCTTTGTCACATTGCTCTGTATGGTAGTTACAGGTCTCAACTGAAATTTATTCATTGGCAGACAGCAGCTCTGAAACATGACCTGCTGCTTCAGATGAGCAATTTATTACAATACATCACAAAAAAAAGATTACCCGCAATAATCTGTTGCCCTCTATTT